GAGGTATGCAGTTTATCATAATGAATAAATAAATATCACGGCGAGCAGTTTATCAGAAGACTGCATTTTAAGGGTGTATGTTTCCCTAGTGCATTAATATTGTTATATTTCTATTAGCAGTAATAGTTCAACATTTTGGGAGATGCTTATTCTAGCATAAGGTAGTGTAAAGACATTTTCTCAAAATAAATGTTTGAAATTTATATATCCGAACTGTCATGTTGTAAACAATAAAGGTAGCCAAATAATACTTGATGTTACCCTCTGAATAGAATGGTCTTATACCAATTTCAAACTGCTTGTAAAATATGAGTCAATTTGCAAGACGGCCTCAGGCTCTTTCTTCGATCATTCAGACCCCTGTCCACACGGCATGTTCTCCTGCACTGATGGGGGATGTGTTGACTTCGCCTTCTACTGTGACTACAAGGAACACTGCAAGGACGGGTCAGATGAAACTCAGTGTGGTGAGAGTCTGATAATTCTGCTTTTTATTTCAGTTTACTTAGCTTCTTACTGTTAATTTATTACCGTGAAATACTCGATTCTCTTCGCAGTGTCCCGTGAATGTTCCTCTGACCAGTGGCGCTGCAGCAGTGGACAGTGTGTGTCAGCTGACCAGAGGTGTGACCTCCTGCAGGACTGTGTGGACGGATCAGATGAAGAGCAGTGTGGTAGGGTCCAATTTATTGGAATAAGAGCAAAAACATTCATGTGAAGACTCATCCATGTACATCGTCTGCAATGAGTCAAAACATTCATCTCACAAGTTTAGCATATCCATGTGTTAAAGTGGCGTTAAACCCAACTCAACCACTCACCATGTGGTAGTTTATAAATCTCATGCATGGTCCCAGACGCATGTTTTCAAATGATTAGCTTTGACCAGCTTTGTCTAGCTTGTGATCCCTTTTCATTGAGCTGGTGCTTTGGTAACTTAAATCGGAATTTGCCTTCTAGCATGATCGCTTTTAGAACAGAAAGCTTAATTCTGACGATAATATCTCTCAATTTCTTGACCTCATCCATGGGCCATATCTCTTTGCTATTACCAGAAGTATGCCGGAAACCTTTCTTCCAATGCTATGACGGACGGTGCCTGCCCCCTGCCCGGGTGTGTGACGGTTTTGTGGACTGTGGGGGAAAGTACAGGGAGGATGAGGGTTCACAATGTACAACAAACAGTCAGCCGTCCTGCAGGGCGTGGTATGCCCTAGGAGCTAGGAACAGTGGCAAATACAGCATTGTTATGCAGGAAACGTCTGGTAGGACCAATATCATACCAACATGTTTGGATGAGATCTAATTTGATATGTAGATGCATGTTAATCCTTATGGCTATTCTGGTTTTGATAAAACGCATTTCGTCACCAATTAATTGAAAAAACATTGAACATGCATGAACCGCATGGAAAGAAAGTAATCCTTTTTCAGAAAGAAGAATGACACTAGGTGCATTTGTTTCAAATGTTATTCCTATTGCTTTTTAAGTATAGTGTGATGATATACTCAAAAACAAAAGTTCCTGTGACACCAATATTTTAGTGTATTTTTCAAACAAGTAAAGTTTGGTTGTCAATATTGTAGTACATGTATGGAATCAAGTCACAAAAACGCAACTGCTAAAGGAAAGGCATGCATTCCATGCAAAAGTTGAGTTTTATGCAAGCCCCATGCATTTCACTACCCAAGAATGGGTATAAAAACATGTGCGTTAACGGGATTCCATATGCATTGTTTAGCATCGTGCTGACAACAACCATTCCGAAAAACAACAAAATTACGCAATTATTCAACATTACGAAATGCCACGCCTGTCCGAAAATGAGCGTCTGCGAGCCATTGGTATGCTTGAAGCAGCATCGAGTAAACGTGATGTTGTAAGATAATTAAACGTCCACAGAAACACCATTTGGTGTTTATGGCAACGTTGGCAACAGACGAATGCAATCAGAGACCATCCTCGGAGTGGCAGGCCACGCGTAACCAATAATCGACGAGACAACTGGATTCGAACAACACACCTACGAAATCGATTCCAGCCAGCAACAGTGACTGCAAGAAGCAACCCTGGCCTTCGACGAATATCTTCACAAACCGTACGTCGTCGCTTCAGATGTGCAGGGATTGTCGCCAGAAGACCCGCCAGACGTCTCATTTTGACAGGAAACCACCGTCAAGCACGTCTACAGTGGTGCAGACAGCGTCTACGCTGGACGGCCATGCAGTGGGGACAAGTTCTATTCACTGACCAGTCTCGTTTTTACCTCAGCCACAGCGATGGACGGATTCGAGTGTACCGACGTCGAGGTGAACGTCAATCATTGTGTCATGGAAGAAGATCGATTCGGAGGCGGCAGCGTTATGGTATGGGGTGGGATTACAGCAAGACAGATGACCCGTTTGATAGTGGTAGAGCGAAATCTCAATGGGCAGCGCTACCGCGAAGAGATCATCGGCCCTGTAGTTCTACCGTTATTGCGTCGTCATGACCCAGGCATTACCTTTCAACATGACAACGACCGGCCTCATATTGCTCGACTTGTTTAGGATTCTCTTCAACAAAACAACGTGAATGTCATACCCTGGCCGGTTTGCTCCCCTGATCTCTCACATGTCGGATGGATGGATCGGCGCCTTCGACGTCAACCACGTGTTCCCCAGCCACTCAAGGAACTTCGAAACATGCTCCAGCAGATATGGACAGATATGCCACTGGACTTTGTGTGACGCCTGGTCCATTCCATGAGACGAAGATGTGTTGCTTGCATCGCAACCAGAGGTGGACACACACGCTATTGATTTGTGAATTGACATTTTGGCATGATCATGTTTTTTATGAAATCACGCATTTTCTGAAGTCAGTATGCAAATTAAACCATTTGAACACTTACAGGAGTCTTTTATCTGTTGCAAACCGAAATTGTTTCAGATTTGGTAAAAAAGATAACTTTGCATTATAACAAGATAATCTGGATGAAAAGATAAAATACTATTGGCCTTGAAGGTCTCATCATTCTGTACATACAGTGCTGTTCCTGTTACCCGTATAACACGTGTCGACGTGTCTTAACCTCAGACCTCGTCTTTTTTAGAATCGTTTTCTGTGGAATGTGCATTCAATATGACTGAGGGGAAGATAACGACCATCATTCACCATGACATGGAAGACTCGACAGTGACTGCGAATTCTGTATTTATGGAAGATCTTCATTACACTCTCCCTGAGAATGCCATTGCTTATGTCATGTCCCTGTCTAATACATGCCGCCAGTCAGTGCACATTGACTGTCTCCAAGCGTTTAATTTGTTCCTACTCTACTCTGCTTGGTATGATGTGAACAAGAAGAAGAGGGGTTTTGTGGCTGACACAGGAAGCAACTGTAGCTGCATTCTCAATGATGTCTGTGTTGGTAACATTACAAAGTAAATATTCCATTCATTTGATTACTCCATACTTGTCAAAACCAAGTCTAATATTAGAAACCACCTTGCAGTGTGAACTTTCACTGTAACCATAAATCCCCAAATTGAAAAACGTCATAAAAAATAAATAGATAATATTCATACAGTATCATTATTTTGTTTTCATACAAAAACGTCTTTTCTAAATAACCACTTGTCACAGTATAATCTCAGAGGCGACAAAAACATAATTACTCAGCAAGTATGTTCTCGTTTAGGGATTCGGTGGATATATATTGAAGTCGGAGGTGACGTCATGGGTTAATCTTCATTATGTTTTGAATCAGACGCATGGGCATATGCATATTTCTTCCAAAAAAGTTTTGAATACAATACACATATTCTATTGTGTTAAACCTGGATATCTCATTGCACCTGGCGTAGGTGCGCCTGTGACAAGACCAGAAACGACCTCTTTCTGGTTGATGATAACGTGTGGCTGACTGACAGTGGGTACCTTGATGACATGGACAGCTTGCCAATAACAAAGATATGGATGGATGATATGCTGCGGTTAAGTCGTGTGAGACATACGGTCGGGCCTCTGATATGCGAAGAAAGTAAGTGGATAAACACTTATTGTCACATTTACATGACTTGACTTCTGAGCTATTTACAACTGGATGTCATGCAATGAGACGAAATGAATAAGATGAAAAGAGCGATGAGATCGATTATCCGGTTTTCTGAGAGTTCATTACTGTTGAAAATTGTTTTTGTTCCGCAAATATCAATGCAAGGAAAACCTGTCTCTTTCAGGATTACAGTCAAACACAAGTTCCCTCATGTGTACGAGCGGCGTAGTCGTTGACATCTCTCACAAATGCATCTTGGATTATGATATCTATCAGCACTACACAGGATGTCGGGATCTCACGCATGTACAGGATTGTGGTATGTTATAATCTGCCCATGTCTATCTGCCAGTGAACCTTATGCATGGAGGCGCGACACACCGTTTATGTGGTGTTCTATTTTACAGTGATCCATGAGTGCCCAGTAGATCACATCAAGTGTCCCTCCAGCTACTGCATCCCCATGAGGCTTGTCTGTGATGGGCGCCCGGACTGTGCTGACGGGATGGACGAAAGACGATGCAGTAAGTTTTATTTTATCTGTTTTGATCAGTTTGAAAGGAAACAAAATGAAAATGAAACATCTACTGAAAAGAATCTGATGATTGTTTATGTCCATATAAAAAACACTGCTTTCACCACACACAGCGTCCTCCACGTCCACCCTAGGCTAAGAAAGATAAAGCCTGAAAAACACACCAATTGTATGTAAACGTTTTACCTTTTTGTTGCAGTTAATTTCACTTGCCCTGGCAGATACAGTTGCCGCGGTAACAGAGTGTGTATCCCATGGCAACAGGTGTGTGACACTGTGAAACATTGTCCTCAAGGAGATGATGAATATTTCTGCAACCAGATCTGCCCAGATGACTGTGTTTGTAGAGGATCACAAATCACATGCAGAATGTTTTACCTCGACACTATTGCTCATCTACCTCGGTATACTAGGGTACTCGACTTAAGTGAGACTTATAATATAACAATCAAGAATGACACTTTCTATCACATGGAGAGTCTAGCGGTGCTCAATCTGTCCAACCTCGGTGTGCATGAACTGGAAGAGGAGTGCTTTAGTGGACTAGAGAATTTATTACGTTTAGATCTACGCAAGAACTTTTTGAAGAAAATCCCAAATGGTCTGTTCAGGAATATGAGAATTCTGCATACTTTGTTACTTACTGGCAATGATATACTTCAGATATACCCTGGGTCGTTTGATGGACTTTCAAACTTGCCATCACTCGACATGTCGAATATGGCCCTTACTACGATAGTTGAAAATATGTTTTATGGGCTGTCCAGTCTTATTTTCCTGAACCTTTCGCATAATAAACTCACCTTGATAGAGGACAGGAGCTTCACTGGAGCCGGCAAAGTCCAAACTCTTGATCTTACAAATAACGACATAACAGAATTCACTGGAGACATATTTTCCGGCCTGGACGAGCTCAGTTACCTTCACAATGATAAGTATGTATTCTGCTGCTTCAGACCACAGAGTGTGCCAGAAGAACAATGTCTCCCCGCAGCTGATGAGTTCTCCTCCTGCTCAGACCTGATGAGGAATGAAGCACTCAGGATCTCAATGTGGGTTCTAGGTTTCACTGCTCTTGTTGGTAACCTTTTGGTCATTTTGTCTCGATGCATCTATGACAGACAAAGTTTGAAACGCAGCAATGATTTCTTTGTTGCTAACCTCGCCTTGTCTGACTTTGTGATGGGAATATACATGATCATCATAGCAAGTGCTGACACTATCTACAGAGGAGTGTACAGTTCGAATGACGAGGCGTGGAGAAACAGCTGGGTTTGTCAGCTAGCAGGGTTTCTAGCAACCCTATCAAGTGAGACATCAGTGATGCTCCTCTGTATGATCACGGCAGACAGAGTCCTTGTCATCAAATTTCCTTTCGGAGATTTCAGCATTTTCAAACGATTTTCCAAGTACATCAGTCTTTCAGTGTGGATTCTGGGTTTCTTGATGGCAGGTGTGCCTCTTTTGCCCATCGACTACTTTTCCAGGTCGTTCTACTCCAGATCAGGAGTATGTCTCGCACTACCGCTCACCAGGAACAAAGTTCCAGGATGGGAGTATTCCACCGCTATCTTTGTCCTCTGGAACTTCATTTGTTTTGTCTTCATCGCTTTTGGTCAGGCTATTATCTACCAGGCAGTTAGGGCCAGTCAGAAGCTAAGGAAGGGGCAGACAACGAACGACATGACCATTGCTAGGAAGCTCTCCTTCATAGTTCTGACGGACTTTGTGTGCTGGTTCCCCATTTGTGTCATGGGTAAGTTATAACGATCCACAGTAATGCATAACATTGTTGTATATAGTTCTTCAAAGGCCATCCAGTAAGTCTTGCACATGAACATGCAATAGAATCAATGCAGCACATCGGGGCTCTATTCATATCTCAATGATCTGAAAGAAATACACAGTCAAGCCTTATAACTGTTACTTAGGCGCTTGGGCACATCCTTCACCAAAATAGCAGACTGTGTCCGGTTTATTGCATTATTGTTTATTACGGATAGTTTCGTGTATCAAAACTCCTTATCCGAATTATGAACATTCTTGTGTTTGTTCGAAGTGTCGATTTGAATCGCACTGTTTAACAAAGCGAATGTCAATGTCCAGCAGAGTATCTCGTTGAAACAGACCTCCCCTTTCACGCCAATGACTTTTGCTAAAGATTGGTCTGGACCATTGGTAAACCTTTTTAGCTTGCAAAGATTTTAGCCTGCATGTGCATTTAGCAAGTGTATGGCGATTGTGGCCGAGACCTAAAATCGGAATCTTATAGTTTGTAGCGATAAGATCGTGGGCCCAGCAGGAAGGTGGCAAGTTAATTACCTCAACTTACCATTGAGGTGGAAGTTGTCCCTCTTGGTGGAAAGGTTTATTCTTTTACAATGAATGCAAGAGTAATTGATCTATTCAACCAATCAGATTGCAGTAATTTGCTTTTAAATTGTCGTCGGATCATAGGTTTTCCGACGTCAAACACGTTCGCACTGCGTTTTTTATTGCGATAACTCTCACTGTAACGGGGTATAGCTTCACACAGACATACTCAAATACTAAATACTCAGATGATGGCTTGTTTTTAAGAGAAAATTTCTTTTATAAGTGAATGAAGTGTTTAACAGTTGCTAACGTGATTAAAGAGAAAATTACGAATGTTACTTAAGCGTCCGAAAACCCATAACGTGGGGATATTTATAGTTGTTAATCGGATGATTTCTGACTACAGGCCTGATGGCTCTCCGGGGACACATTATCAACTCTGGAGTGTACGCCTGGGTTGCAGTGTTTGTTCTCCCGATCAACTCGGCTCTCAACCCCATTATCTACACTTTGTCTTCAGTTGACACCATGAGGAAACGGAAGGTAGACATCTTCTCTATAGTGTGCACTCAAGCATAAACAAGACCCGTCAAGATCCGGGGTAGAATTGGTCTTCAGCAACCCGTTAACCAACTATGCTTGTCGAAAGAGGCGACTAACGGGATCGGGTGGTGAGGCTAGCTGACTTGGTTGAAGCATGTCATTGTATCCCAATTGCGTGGATCGATGCTCATGACGTCAATCCCTGGATTGTTTGGTCCAGACTCGATTATTTACAGACCGCCGTCCTATAGCTGGAATATTGCTGAGTGCGGCGTTAAACAATAAACAAACAACAAAGCACGTACATAAAACCTCATGTTTCAAATAAAGATGATTATGCTGAAATTTAAGGAAGCCACAGATTATGTTCTTTACTTTAACATCAGTGTATTAGTTGCAACAAAATCAGTATATGTACTTGATTTCCTGGTTCACCGATCACTTGATTCTGTGGTTTGTTTACTGGCAGCTGTAAATAAATCGTTACTTTTTATGCAAATTGTGTGAATGACGGGAGCTGCAAGTAGGCCTGGACATGCTTACCTCTTTTGCGAACGACTGGTGTCAGTGGTCCATTCATAAAATTGTCACAGCTATTTCGACATTTGCTCCAATTTTCAATCTACTTCGGTGGATAATCCAGACTGGTTATTCTCTGGCATTGACAATTTATATTTACAGCTGAAGAGAGAAAAAACGTTCTCAAGTACCACTCGATCAACAGGTATGTGTGTGTGTTGTTGATTCAGTGACAAGTAACAGTGACGATGAGTTAATTATGCATTTGCTTAAACAGTGCTTATGCGGAAATGTACTCATGTATTAATCTTGCTTTGTTTTATCTCAGATGTGTAACCGTGAAGTAATCACAACTTGTATATTAATAATTTAAACGTTGGCCAATTCAAAAGTGTAGAAAGTTTTGTCATTTTGAACATTTTATTACATTAACATATACTTCCAGGTACATTTTACAAGGTACAATAATTCATTTATTTTTTGTTTGCTTTTACAGGCAGGACAAGGTCCTCTGTCCCTCATATTTTGCAGAAAGAACTCCTCTTCCTGAGCCAGCCCCCGAATTCAGTCTGTCTGTCCTCTTACATTGGGTCACTGACGTCAGCCCGAGATATGCTGACCATTGCTCACCAGCTAGCCAGATCGGTGGACCTTCTTCACTCCAATGGTCTTGTCAATGGCTTGGTAGAGACAGACAGTGTATACGTTGTCCTTGATAATGGGGTATGTTTCTGAGGTCTCTTTTAATAATATAACTATCGAATCGTATTTAGACATTTATATTGTGCCTCGTGTAAGAATTGGTGCTATCGAACGTTGTTGGGGGTATTTCGTTGTATTCACATAAATCCTATCATTCTACAGATTATCAAAAGGGTGACTGCAGCATGTGTTCCCATGGCAACGGAAATCGAAGACGAGTATAGTAAGGATATCCGGGACTTTGGTCATCTTGTATCCAAGATGTTGAAAGCTTATACAGTCGCTAAGAAACAACGTCTCGCAAACATGGTCGACAACTGACAATGGAAAGAGATATGGATACGATACCGCCTCCTCGATCTACGAATGGACATGATGACGAAAACTACGTATACTGTGCAACGCAGTTAACAATAAAATCTGCAATATAAACAATGTTTGTTTGTTTTTCGATTTCATATTATAGATACACACAGCATGAGACCAATGAAACTGCTAATGGTATATTTTGCACCAATTATAGTAACAATTATTTTTCATTGTATTCTATTGGGATATTATTAATTATCCGTCAATGTTCACTGAAAGAGCTTAAGCATTTAGGTTTAAGGCTGAGAAAAATATGGATCATAATGAATTGGCTTTAGATGGAAATGTGATCAGTGTCGGAGTGTACTATTCAATCATGGACAAAAATGAACCTTTTTAATTGGGCAAAAGGTCCAGTTTAAATGTTGATGCCCCTTATAATTATGCTCTCATTCTCGCTTGGCGATAAACGTCAAAGTACCAGTTCATCACATTTAGTTCTGTAGATTCCCATTGGTAGAAACACAATTCCAATTCTTTTAGAAAGGATAAAATGGTAATATACAGGTAGGAATCTCAACCATTTGAGCAAACTTTGGTGTCATTTTTGGTACGAAAATATATGTTACAGATTAATCCGTCTCGCATTGAAAGTGATGCTTGTAACTTGTAAAATCATAGTCGATGATCATACTGAAATTAAATTATATATTGAAAAAGACTGAATCAGATAATGCTACTTCATATTCTCTTAATATAACAACAGTGTTATGATGAAAAGCCATGTTTGGCCAAGATCTTATTTTTTCCAAATTACAGAGTTAACGAAAAATGTATAATTGTTCAGACTTGGCGCAACCTTTCTGTCCCGAGGCCAGACGTTTTTTATTTTTATTTTCTATATTATGTCGTTCGAGAGAAAAAGGTAACTTTGGAACCTTCATTCTCTATATCTACGCGACCAGTGGTATGCATGTTACTAGTACTTACAAACTATGCAATAAAATCAACGAAAATGAAAATGATTTTGGTCACGTTGACTGGTTCAACGGGACAATGATACCACATCGTCGCGTGTGGTATTTAAGTGTCCGATGTTTCTTTTGGTTCGGTTCATTTTTGTGGCACATTTAACTTGTGGTTGTCGCCCCTGTGACTGACAGACGGTTCAAAGGGGCCTGACAATCTCATACTTTCTCTACATCTCCAAGGCATGGTCATCATGGCAGTTTGCAGAGTACACCTAGTAATTGGGAAAAACTTAATTTAATAACATATCAGGGAATATCCCGGAATTGTTGGGTTAAATTATCATAATAAAGGAATGTGTCAGCTTCCAGCCTTCAAAGCACACAAAATATGCTCAGACAGACAAACATTATAATATTACATCATGCTTGAGTAGTAGGTAGTCTCCATGTGAGCTGTGCGATCAGTCACGAGAAGGTCGCTATACAACCATGAACATCAGTGTGCATGCCAACTGTACTGACCAAAACGCAGAATGGTGATCAAGCCCACCACCAGTGAAAGCTTCAAACATTGGAACCTCCAGATGTAATCCATCTGTTGGGAGGTTTGGTATTCCTCGTAATTCTTTTTGTAGAATGTTGCAAGGCCGGGTGTACCGCTCATCATACATGTTCATGCTTGTGCGAATTAAATTCTTTTTGTGTTCTGACTAAATGAGAATGATAACATATTGAACTTGAGGTAGAGATAATACATATGTCATCTCTAGATATTAAAACTTGTCATCGATGTGTTGTCATCGGACATAGACAATGGCAATGCATTGATAATTCGCTCATTCGTTACACCAACAACATCCATGTACTACACAGAAACATAAGATCTCCTCCGTCACACCAAAAGCATGTTTGAAAATATAGCACTTCTCAATCTATTTGAAAAGAGTTTATATTTTGTTCTACACTGTGACATTCACATTCAGACACATTTATTATTTTGCAAAATAAAATGACACAGTTCTATTTTTAAAGTAAATAAGTTATAAATTTGAACAACGGTGAGTAGGGTATAACGCCGCTTTGATATACTCCATATAGAGCAGTCTCGCCCCATTTGTCAGACACCTTAAAATCTCAAAATCCACGGTTGAGTTCTCCCACTGTCCAATGTTTGCTACCTAAGTGGTAAAATGGATTAGTCCCGATCATATCCCATTTGTCAGACATCTCATAAGAATATAAGCCTTATGCTTAATGAAAAGACTTTGTGTTTCATAGGTTTTAGTAGCGGTGTTTCGAACAATGACTGACAATGTAAAGACAACCGAGTGTCGGGGAGAAGCTTTTTGAAAACCGTACGCAAACAAGATCACCGTCGACCGTCAAATTTCGTATAAACTTGAATGATACCACAAATGGCTCCATATCTGTACAAAAGTCAATACAATTTCTGTAGTTTTATCCTAAAAAAAAAATCGATCGTCTTTAGCGTCTGCATTAGTCACAGTGGGCGGAGCATATTTACGGTTGCGTCAATGGCAAAGCACATGGTCATGTGACACATTCAATGCACTTGTGGTCAAAGTGTATTGTTTGTATATTTTTACGTCAGAACAGCAGCAGAACAACAGTTTCGGTTAATGTAAAAGTAACGATATATAAATACGAAATTGACGACAAGATTCTTTCAGTTCAATCCGAATATTACAGATATTTCTTTTATTTTTGGTCATTTGGATTCAACAGTTAGATCTTTATCACACAAATAATTAGATTATATTTTTAAAAATTAAATTATTAGACAGATTGTTCAACTAGTGTTTAGGAAGGGGCCTATTTTGAAGCACCAGAAGTTGCGCCAATATTTCTTAGCTTGACTAGGCCTACAATATATGAATATGTCACGTGTATCAACATAATATTGCACATAAGCAACTAATAAATAAGTAACGAAATATACTTGATGTTTTGACCTACATTAAGCCTGTCTAGATAATATTGTACTTATGGATTTCCTCTCCTTTCACAGAATTTTCACACACAAATCATTAGATCTATATTTGGCCCATGTATTTTTGTTCGGGAGATTTGGATACACTTCGCGCACAAGTTTAAAGATACAATCTGGGACCCCTTTGCCCATTTTGTCAACACCAACCCTTCATCTGCTGCAACGTTTAATATCCCAAAACATCGTCTACTTAGCTCAGTCCAGAAGAATTGGAAGCACAGTTCTCGAGTTTCGAACGAATTTCTGTAACATGGTGGCCGCATGATTTTCTAACTGCGATTCCCTGTGCTGTGTCACGCATGGTTGACAAAAGAAGTGCGAACGTACATATTCAGCTTTATCTGGTTCCACAATAAAATCTCGCTGTGACACTGATTCACTAATCCCAAGAATTAGCACTGAAGTTGTCAAAGTTTCTGTTGCACTTGCAAGGGCGGGAAGAGAGGCGCTATCTTGTCGATTGGAGTTGACGGTCGGATAATCAGACCTATAATAATCTAAATGACCAAAGGCTCCCTGGTCATCTCGAACAACTCTCCGTCAAATTAAGCGTCACATGAAAATGTTTTGTTGCTCATATTGAAGACAAGCGAACTTGCAAAGTTCTTGACAGTTCTAAGCGGATGCGCCAATGGGGCGTGGTTGCTAAGAGATCGCATGATCAGAAAGGGGGAAAACAAAAAGTTTTAGAAAGTACTAAAAGAAATCCGCAGTGCAGTCAAAAAGTACCATGTACAGGATGTATTTTAATAATAGTATTCACGATAACATTTCTTTTCTAAAAATGCAAATTAATTTATTAATTCATCCCACGGTCGTAACCCTGATCACGTGGTGGGTATTTGGAAGGAATCTTGTGATGACGCCGTGAATGAGGCCGTGTGTATCACATTGTTGAATTCAACTGACCAGGAGGATTGTCGAGGCAATGACATTATGACAGATGCTCGTCATGGATGGATAAAAATGCGTCTGAGAGAAACATTGTTGCTTTGAGCTTTGAGACAAAACATGCTTTCATGCCGAAGTAGTTTACAAGAGAGGATGATCTGTGTAGCCAGCGACCTGTAAAAGCTTGATGAAAATAATGTTGAAATCCATTTTCACGCACATGACAGAATAAATGTGAACAAATATTTATCTGAACAACATTTCGAAGTATGTGAGGCTGTCCGTATTATAATATTTTTATAAATTTTTCGTGTCTCAATTTAGCTGCCGCTGTGGAAAATTGCGCACCGATCTAATAAAAGAAACACTACTAGATCTACCATTCCATCGTCATAAAAGAACCAGGTGAACTGATCTTTCTTCAATTAAAAATTCGTTTCCGAAGCAAAGCGAATCGATCTACATCATAAATTAATTCATAGACTAGATTCTAGTACCAATTGTTTAAACTTTACTTTTTAAATGTTATTTTTAATGTTAAGACATTTTTTGATAAGTAATATATTTTATTTCGTCCGCCCGCTCTCTGGTTAGTTGGGGCTTTAGAGTGAGTGAGTGAGTATGGTTTTACGCCGTTTTTAGCAATATTCCAGCAATATCACGGCGGGGGACACCAGAAATGGGCTTCACACATTGTACCCATGTCGGGAATCGAACCCGGGTCTTCAGCGTGACGAGCGAACGCTTTAACCACTAGGCTACCCGACCGCCCCTGGGGCTTTAGAAGAGAAATTGGATGGCCTTATGCAAATGACACTTGGCATGCCAATCAACGGGGAAGCCGAGTCACTGGGACCCGCCAAGTTTCACTGATCGAGTTACTTCGGCATGAGGAGCTTTCGGACAAGTGTGACTTTGCCAAAACATATTGCTACTGGGCAATGAAAACATGTCACGGAAAAGACAAAAAACTACTTTCATTACTTGAAAATACTTTTGACCATTGCCGGGTTTTTTACCCGATCGTTGTCATCCATATTCAAGATGAAGGCAAGACGAACACGGTTGAAATCACCGATTGCCGTATATATTGTGAGAAATGCTTTTCATTAACTGCAGATATACCGTACATCACAGGATTACGATTGGTGCCGTGACACATATTGTGTTTTGTTGTTGTTCAATTACACTGCTCTTATTCATGACGACAAACGTATTTCGTTCTCGTCCAGAGTATAGCTCAGAACTATAATTTGTGTGTTGGACTTTGTTGGATAAATCGTGGACATTCCACGGTATCATTTTCTGAAGATGTGAAGACGACATTGTTGGTAGGTTTTGAAACCAAAGACCTACGTGTTCGTTGAAAAGTCTTGGAATCGTTGATGGATATTTATCACCATTAAAACTTACGTCCTTGTTGTCAAACGGCCCACGTGGGTGGGTGTTTACATGACGTCACCTCGTTTACGCATTAACCAATGAAATTCATGTGTTATCACTAGGTCATATTGACCTGTCAGATCACTCGAATAGGCTCCGCCCACTAGAGTGCGGTAGTTCCTACCGCAGATGCCCCTTTTAAAGACTGCTCAAGAATCAACTAAACTCACATCGTGTGTCTGAGTGGACGTGAACAGGAATAACTTGAGTTTAAAATCCCCTGGGGGTATGGGTGTCAACATCTGCAGATACTGGAAATATACATTTCCCCGATCCCAACTGGTTGTCACAACATATGCGCATGGAACATTCTTCAACCGTGTTGAGTGAGTGAGTGAGTGAGTGAGTGAGTGAGTGAGTGAGTGAGTGAGTGAGTGCAATAATAAGAGGGGTGCAGTAATGGTTTTGTCTGGCTGTACTGAACGTCCGCGTGTTGAATGTTTTATACGAAGTATTATACCTTTGTTTGATATAAAGCAATCCCTTAACATGCCACTTTGGGCTGATAAAGGATTACTAGTAACAGACAAAGGTAGCTTAATTCTCAAAATTGTAATGGAATGGACAAGGCCAGTTGTAATGGACTGCCATTGTCATGTATCACATGGTACCGACTTTATAGATTCTGTAACAATAGCGGAATTGAGATAGCAATTCTCTCATTGCGGTTGAAATGATTGTTGACTTCCTGCTGCATTTAACTACATGTACATAAACATAAAAGGAAGCGGAAACCATTCTCATGTATTTGCACTGCCTATTCAAAGGATTAACGATTTCAAAATATAAGAGGTGAAATTTGATTGATTTAATTCCTCCTTACTGAGATATCGCATGTGTAAGTGATGTTAACAACTGTAATCAATGCTTTGAATCTGGTTCATACAAACGGAAGTGTCCTGTGCATATCACCACATATCTTGCCCATATACTAGACCATTTGCCTTCGTTAATAATTGATTCAGCAAATCTGGTCAATAACCATTAGCTTTTATATAACTTTGCTTTTGTTGAGGAATAGACACAGACTATGCTAATTTGAATCAAAGGTTGTTAATTGTGGTCATCAATGTAACCGCGAGTCACATTGACGTCCCATAGCGTGACCACAAACAATCCAACAGATTAGAATCCCGTGGTCATTGGTTCTGTGTCAGTACAATCGTTGCCTATTTAAAGAAACCCTGAGTTGTACTCCGGCAGATTGACTATGTGGGTACCTCTGGTGTTTAGTTTTGGCTTTTACAGTGCTGTGGCTTTGTTTCACCCGAAGGACGATATTTCACGTAAGTAGAAAGTTTGTAGCCGTGCTTGTGTTGCTATTGCCTGCTGATTGTGATCCCGAGGACTATAAAGAGAACTAAAATCAAGTCACATTTACATAGGGTTTATTAAATATCAATCAATATCGTGGTTCTTGTTAAGATGAGATATTGCTTACTTTTGTTTTTTTAAAAACCCATTGTTTCGTTTCAAATAAAGAGTTTCCAAACCACCTTTTGGATTCACAATGGCTGGTGAATAAAACATCTGCTCTTTTGAAATGTTTCAGTGGAATAAGAAGCGTCCACACAGAAAACATGTGAGGTCTCATCACGTATGTTTTAATACGATATATGTATAGGGTGGTTATAAAATATGTATAAGCCGATAGATACGTGTCACCCGCTACAACGGGGCATCGATTACATACTGATGACAGAAAGTTAATAGACACAAGTGACACGAGGCCTTCAGCTAAATTGTTGGATTAATACTTGCAATTGTCTGTTAATTACTCAATTGTGTAGAGACGACTTAGCCAGTAGTGCGTTTAAAACAGCATTGATTGCTATTCGACTTATCAAGTCAATTTTACACCCTGCAACATGTCTCTTGGGACCAAGGAAATGTATCTGGATAACATGTGTTTTTCTACTTAAAGGGCTCTACTTATCAAATATAAATAAATGATAATTAAATAGTGATCGTGCCTGGACCAAAGGAAAATATCTACAAAAGAGGTGTTTCTATTTGTGTATGGGTTAAGTGTTTATTAGGATACTTTGACAAAGATTGGTACATTTATACACAGAATCACTCACATTCTAACACTCGCATTACAACATATACTCTTAGCCTTGGACATTTATCACTGAATAATACCGTTTATCATATAATGGGTAGGTTTCTCGGTAGGATAAAGCCAACGGATAAAAACGATATCCGTTTGGGTCATATGCGGATAGAGATGCAAATATCAAAGGTCAAGTAGGGACTACTTTCACTGTTTATAATCAAACATGGCGTCGCCCTCGTCATTCGGCGATCGAGTCAGAATTAACCATCGGGAATCTGGATAAACTTATAGAGATAATTGCTTTCAATTTTCAAAAGAACAGTCTAATATACTGAAAATCAGTGTCTAACTTTGGAGATATAAATTTCGACACAATTTTGCGAGGGCACGAGGCCTAACCAAGCGGGATCAGTAGCCATATCTGTGCGTGTAGACCCCTGCGGCTTGAACCTTTCTCTACAAATTAAAATAGTTGGATTTGGCCGAAATATGTTTGAATTGTTACCTTGTTTCGTTTTGTCGCTGTGTGTACATCTACACTTCTTAACGTTATGACAGGACAGACCGACTGTCAACAACGTCTGACCGTGGCCGTGACGTCTCATAGACTAGGATTAGAGTAGCTTCCCTTTGACAAAGGGCAGCTACTCTAGCAGACAGACCGAAGGATTGCCGCGAAAGGCAATTAAAAATAATTGTTGTTTTGCGTATATGTTGCAGCTGGGACTTTATTGGCTACTGTCACTGTCCGACTGACACATCACTTACCCTGTGACGTAATAAATATTAATGCGCGCATTCCAGGAAAACTCGCAATGTTTCGGTAATGTTTGTGAGTGAGGGAAAGCAATTTTGAAGCACAGAATTAAAAAATGACATTATATGATCAAGAGGTTATCACGTTATTGTGTGTTTGGGGATCGTTAATATCCTGTATTAGGAATAAACACTATGTATTTAGTTCGCCAAGGCTCGCTAAATACAATGTTTATTCCTAATATTCCTAATGCAGGATATTTACCATCCCCCAAAACACTCGCGTGATAACCTCTATTCATTCAACTATATATATTGTTTTGTATTGTTCATGACATCGTCAATTGAACACATTATATTATCTAAACGAAAGGCTGACTTCCATGCATGTCTGAAGTTTCAAACTTAATCTTCAATACGGAACATCAGTCCTGAATGCTGGACGTTCGTCGCGAAAAACACGTTGCGAATGTCATTGGCATGGGACCTATGATACGCATTTCCCCGCATCTCGTTGATTTTTCTCTAATTCCTGCTGACTTCACAGGGTGTTACGGACTCCAGTGTCAGAATGACGGGACTCCTGATCTTGAACTCTGCATCTGTCATTGTAATCAAGGATACAAAGGGATATTGTGTAATACAGGTAAGCGTATCGTCCGTAATTCCTTTTCAAAGAAATAATCAAACTACAAACTACATCGTTCGATTAATCTGTCCTGGGCTGTGTGACGTCGATCATCGAAGTGATGTGTTTGTTGATATCGGACCCACAATCTGCTGACGACAGATTAAGAACATGCAGCGTTTGGGCAGCAATATTCTGAAGTGTGCACACCTGCAACATGCCCGTGGCACGTAAACGTTCAGCACGTTGCAAACGTCGCATGCTGTTGCTTCCTTATTGATTAAAAGTGTTTAATAAATTGTCTGTAAGCGTTTGGTTTCAAGAAAACAATGCGTCCGCTCACAACCGAGTCAAAGTGACAACGGTCAATCTGGCATACCATCCCTTAAACGTGGTGTCCGATGTCACGTGCTTCATGACTGTCACAATGTTGTGTTTGGGAGCTTGACTTCACCTGAAATGTTTTTTACATAGTATATATTTATTTTGAAATTGACATTTTTGTCATACTAGTAAAAAATCAGGGCTACGTTAGCAAAAAAGGATATGAGAAGGGACATTCCTGTTTCAGAAGTCCAACGCAGCTCATGGCCAGCTGGTTCCTACAGCCTACTATCAACGGTGTTTGGATGCCCGGAGCCGGAGAGCCATGGCTGGAATCTTGGCTATATCAACCTAACGCTGTCAAAGAATACCACTTCTCGTCAACGCTTTCCAGAACGATTCCGACTGTTGGGTCCTTACCACAAACAGACATTCCAGTTCAATTTCTGTTCAAGGATTGACGATGGAGCCGAACCTGCAGTAAGCAGTGAGTGGCCTCCTGGTCGCTACTGTCTGCTCAAAGCTGAAGGACAATTGTGTTCCAATGGTGAGGTTTTGTTTACTCCCTTCCCTTCACCATTGATTCATTTTCATCAGATAAGTGAGGTGAGGTGAAATTGGGTTTAACGTCGCATCCAAGATTATTGCACTTATATAGCGACGTGCATGCACGTGTGTGTGTGTGTGTGGCTGCTTGTACTAGAACGGACTGATGCCGATTTATAGTGCTAGCCCACTGAGATAACATGCCGCAGTTTAACATTAATACCCCACTCAGACACAGTATACTGACTCCGAGCCGACCAGTCCTTGCTTTAACCCCTTAATGCCGAGCGCCAGACAGGGTAACAACAAGTACCATCTTTTAACGTCTTTTGGTATGACGCGGCCGGGTCAGATAAGTGAATGTTTACCTCTTCTGATGGGAGTTTTGTGTGGATGGTAATGGGAATAAGTCATCTCAGTTGTCGTTTACTGACATACACCGCAACCTCGTTTGAACCTGAACCATTGTCTAGTAACACAATCCCTGTTTTCGTGGGTTTCGCTAAACTGGTCGAAGGCCTGAGTCAGTTAGCTACTAGTCACACTAAGCTGACGCGCAGTAACCACAGTAACCACATATCTTGTATATCTTTTAAGACATCAAAGGAGTCCACTGTCAAACAGAGTTTTCTGGATAAAGCGAGTGAGGGAGTATACTTGGTTTTACGCTGCCTGTAGCAATACCAGCACTGTCACGGAGGGAGATATCATGGGTTTTTCACATTGTGGAGAATCGAACCCGGGCGTAGGGTTTCATGTGCGAACGCTTTAAACCACTAGCTGCCCCACCGCCTCTTGAGCATTCTAAATAGAAATATATATAATCTGCAGTAAGCATGTTTTTCTTTTATCCTAATTCACAGGATTCCAGAAAGGGTTACTCCCATTACCCGACTACAGTGTGTGGGAGGACGACACAGGGGGCGTGGTTCCTGACGCGGTCATCACAGATCCGGGGATTAATTTAACACTGTGCTGCAGGGATGACGATGACATCGACACCATTACACTGCCTACGACATTTCCTTTCTACTTGATGAAGGTATTAAATCGATGTAGTATTAAAGAACAATTGTAATACACTGTTGACCACACACTATAGCTCTATTGACCCACTGCATAATACATTGCAGAACACCAGTGGCAACGGTCAACATAATGCTCTGTTTGATGAAAGTACAAAAGCAAGGAGACTTGTCGATGTGAGAGCTCACCAAACAATAGGTCTAACCTTTCAAATACACCTCTTTCAGACATTGCTGGAACATATCTTCACAGAATGTGTATCTTATATATACGTCATGAGTTTCGCTGAGGAGCCCTGTGGGATCCTGGAATAACATAGGTTCCTTGTATCTCTGTCATACTAGTCGACAATAATTAGATCGAGTGGACACACTCTTTGACTTGAGATTGCAGACCACGTGGATCTTTGATCAAGTGATTAATTTGGCTCGGGTCGACACTCCATTGAGGTTGCATTAATATATAGTGATAATTACTTTCTGCTATGTTGACATCAAAATAATCACTGAATTGGCATATGAATTTAACATGATGTCAGCATTATTGCAACGTGTAACATACAGACGCGTCATTACACATAAAGCCTGGTTTTTTAGTTGGATTCGAATAAAAATCAACTTTTCATTAGTTAAGGTCAACCCCTTCAATTTATTGCCTTGCATATTTGGAAATATGTACATATGGCATTGATCTTATTTTGATGGTGAGTGAGTGAGAATGGCTTTACCCCACAACTTATTATTATATCAGCATATGTGCAGATTCCTTAATATAATTACAATATTTAACTGAACACACTGAACATTGAACCATATTGCAATGATGTTCTGTACTGTTGTATTTGTTTTTCTTTCAAGCCATCTCCAGAGGTTGCGTGCCAGGCAGTTGCCGACATGGTGGTCAAAGAGGAAGTGTTCTCCTTCGTGAAGACCGCCAACAGGAGCTGGATGAGCGGGGAGGGAAGCTTCGTGGCAGAAGAGTCGGAGAACTACTTTAACGTCACCTTCTGCTACTATGAAGCATATGGTACTTTTCCGCCTCTTGGTGATGGGGTGTGTGTCTGTGTCTTCGTAGGGGACGGGGGAGGGGAGGGTGTGTGTGGTTAATTGGATTTTGTATCGAGATGAAATATATTTCAGCTAGAGCTACAAAACCAGAAAAAAAATTATAATTTAAATTATGAACCTGAACTCAAAAACCGTTGACTTATTTGGAATGACACTTACTATACATATCCGTCTAGTGGTGAACTGGTGCCTTTTGATGATTCGGGATATTGAGAAATGCTGAATAGCATTTTTACTTACTGCACTGAATGTATCCAGTAACATTCCACAGTATAATGCATGACGGTATCGGAACGGGTACATGAGGCGAAGGGTTGGGAGAGTATACATGAGACAGACGGTATCGGAACTGGTACGTTAGGCGGAGGGTATAGGAGAGGGATAATTAGACAGGCGGTATCGGAACGGCGTTCTTCGCGAACTGTATTCAGTAACATTCCACATTATTATGCATGACAATACGATACCATGAATATGTCAGACATACTATCTGTACCAGGTGTTATTTGAAGGGAAGTGGTCAAGTGGTCAGAACGCCATGAGTGTAACAGTGGCACAAGAGATCGTACAATAGGGGCGGGGTCAATGTCGCCTGTGCAGGTCGACCCTGTCAGCCATTGGACACTAGTATTATGAAATTATAAACCAATGAGATGACCTTTCACTTTTGAAATATTATGTCGGACCTTTCCTGTAATATTTACAGAACGCCGTGAATGTATGTACAGTGAGGACAGGGGCGCGTCCTACAGAGGCTGGGTCAACGTCACCGCCGACGGCAGACCGTGTCAACGGTGGGACGAGAATTCGTATCCCATTGCTGAAAAACATTATGACGGGGATTTTGATGGGAATTTCTGCCGTCAGACATGGTATTATCAAAGAAGACCATATTGTGTCATAGATGAAAAGCTTTATGGGTGTGACATTCCTGTCTGTGGTGAGTAGTGTCCTGATGTATCATATTAAACATCAAACTGTATAACCAAATGCGTGATGAGGAAGATGCATATGGGGAGTTGGGAAGGTACGTGAGAAGGGGTGTGTGAACAGGGTACGTGAGACGTAGAGTGTGGAGAGAGTACATGAGACAGACGGTATCGGAACGGGTACATGAGGCGGAGGGTACGGGAGAGGATACATGAGACAGACGGTATCGGAACGGGTAAATTAGGCGGAGGGTATGGGAGAGGATACACGAGACAGACGGTATCGGAACGGGTACATGAGGCGGAGGGTATGGGAGAGACAGACGGTATCGGAACGGGTACATGAGGCGAAGGGTATGGGAGAGGATACATGAGACAGACGGTATCGGAACGGGTACATGAGGCGGAGGGTATGGGAGAGGATACATGAGACAGACGGTATCGCAACGGGTACATGAGGCGGAGGGTATGGGAGAGGATACATGAGACAGACGGTATCGCAACGGGTACATGAGGCGAAGGGTATGGGAGAGGATACATGAGATAGACGGTATCGGAACGGGTACATGAGGCGGATGGTATGGGAGAGACAGACGGTATCGGAACGGGTATGGGAGAGAGTACATGAGACAGACGGTATCGGAACGGGTACATGAGGCGGAGGGTATGGGAGAGGATACATGAGACAGACTGTATCGGAACGGGTACATGAGGCGGAGGGTATGGGAGAGGATACACGAGACAGACGGTATCGGAACGGGTACATGAGGCGGAGGGTATGGGAGAGAGTACATGAGACAGACGGTATCGCAACGGGTACATGATGCGGAGGGTATGGGAGAGGATACATGAGACAGACGGTATCGCAACGGGTACATGAGGCGGAGGGTATGGGAGAGGATACACGAGACAGACGGTATCGGAACGGGTACATTAGGCGGAGGGTATGGGAGAGGATACATGAGACAGACGGTATCGCAACGGGTACATGAGGCGAAGGGTATGGGAGAGGATACATGAGATAGACGGTATCGGAACGGGTACATGAGGCGGATGGTATGGGAGAGACAGACGGTATCGGAACGGGTATGGGAGAGAGTACATGAGACAGACGGTATCGGAACGGGTACATTAGGCGGAGGGTATGGGAGAGGATACATGAGACAGACTGTATCGGAACGGGTACATGAGGCGGAGGGTATGGGAGAGGATACATGAGACAGACGGTATCGGAACGGGTACATGAGGCGGAGGGTATGGGAGAGAGTACATGAGACAGACGGTATCGCAACGGGTACATGATGCGGAGGGTATGGGAGAGAGTACACGAGACAGACGGTATCGGAACGGGTACATGAGGCGGAGGGTATGGGAGAGAGTACATGAGACAGACGGTATCGGAACGGGTACATGAGGCGGAGGGCATGGGAGAGGATACATGAGACAGACGGTATCGGAACGGGTACATGAGGCGGAGGGTATGGGGGAGGATACATGAGACAGACGGTATCGGAACGGGTACATGAGGCGGAGGGTATGGGAGAGGATACATGAGACAGACGTTATCGGAACGGGTACATGAGGAAGAGGGTATGGGAGAGGATACATGAGACAGACGGTATCGCAACGGGTACATGAGGCGAAGGGTATGGGAGAGGATACATGAGACAGACGGTATCGGAACGGGTACATGAGGCGGAGGGTATGGGAGAGGATACATGAGACAGACGGTATCGGAACGGGTACATGAGGCGGAGGGTATGGGGGAGGGTGTATGAGACAGACTGTGGGAGGGGTGTCTTAAACGGAGGGTGTTGAGAGGGTAAATTAGACAGAGTGTGTGGAGAGTTTCGTGAGACGAAGGGTGTGGGAGAGCGTACATGAAACGGGAGTTAGTGGGAGAGGATACTTTAGACGGAGGGTGTTATGCCACATAATGCCATATAATATGTCATTTTAATATTCAGATTCTACTGGCGATCTTCCAAATGTCGCAATGAGGAAGCTGTATCGTTCTCCGCCATCTCGTTCTGACAACCCCATTGAAAACATCGTGAATGGTGAAAAGGGTAATATTTGAAAACACTTTTTTTTGTAAAATCATTTTACCGAAACATTACAACACGTCAGATGTGACAAATGTCAGTATCCTATTACCGTGGGATTTATTTTCAGCTACGACCTGATAATGATCCTTAGTTGTTCAGTCATTCACTCAATTACGTAAACTGTTTTTTGTCAAGTCAGCATGAATATCTTCTTGTCTCCATAGAATCTTAAAGTTCCTATTATTATCTCTGATCTATGACTGTAATTGGGAGGGCCAGCCATAGGTGTCCAACACACATGTTATTCTTCAGCTTGCTATCATTTGCAGGAAAACCAACATTTGCCATCGCGCGACCGTTTGTAGAGCCATGGTTACAAGTTGATCTCAGTGAAGATTATGAAATCTACTCGATAACAGTCTACAAGGCCTACAGTAAGTGGAAAAGAAAAGAATTATTTCGCATAAACAGCGAACAAGGCTGAAATCTGTACATTATAAATGATGACAACTTAGATAGGAAAATATATGTAGTTTCAGACCTGAATAAGATCTTCCTGCTGCACCTGGTACTACTACTACTTTTAGTAGTTGTAGTTTGTTTGTTTGTTGTTTAATACCGCACTCAGCGTTATGACGACGATCTGTAATTAATCGAATCTGGACCAATCAATTAACTGATAGATATCATGGGCATCGATCCACGCAGTCTGGATACGATGACATGGGTTGTTGAAGACCTATCCTAACCCGGATAGTAGTAGTAGTGGTAGTAGTAGTAGTAGTAGTAGTAGTAGTAGTAGTAGTTATGTCGTACTGGTGTTGGATGTAGTCGCAATATTAATTTTGAAGCGGTAGTAGTAATTAAAGTGACTACTACCACTACTAGTAGTAGTAGTAGTAGTTGTTGTTGTAGTAGTGGTAGCATTGGTACTACTACTACTACTACTACTACTACTACTACTACTACTACTTCTACTACTACTACTGCTACTCCTACAGTTGTTGCTCATAAAACCTGTACTTGATATTTTATATTTTTTATTTGCAGATTGGTGGCCTTACAACACGCGTCGAATTGTAGCTTACGTCAGTCAAAAGCAGTGGGACTTTCTCAGATTCGGAGCCTACAACTGCGATGGCCCGTACAACCCTGCCAGGACTAAATCGTTTCGCTTCCAGTGCCGTCGACCGTTAACTGGCACCTTCGTCACACTTCATAATTTCGTTCATTATGACCCCTATTATAATGTGGACAATTATAATTATTTTGAGGTGTCAGAAATAGTTATCCGTGGAAAAGGTAACTTCTGTACATGTATACGTCTCCACAATGTATGGGCTGCACGAGTAAAATGTTTCCTTGCGCTCAATAACTATATATATTGACGAAAACGGCACGCCATTTTTGTATTTCGTATAACTTGTCTTGATTTCGAATTCTGTTTAATCACAAATTTTGAGATTCACACAATAAGGTCATTTCATTGAAGCCACCGGTTGCGGAAAGTCCCTGGGTGTGAGAACTGGTGATGTTAAAGATTTCCAGTTTACATCTTCCACTGATGGAAAGGGATCCTATGGATATCACGCTAGGTTGAACAGAGCCACAGGGTGGTGTTCTCATTCCGGAGATCCAAATCCTTACATTCAGGTAGGTCATACACGGGTCACTTGAAGTAGGGAAATTATTAAATGGTATATATTATGATGAGAAATATAAGCGACAAATCCCCTCCATAATAATTAGACAGTTCTGTTAAAAGCAGAAACCTTTGTACAATTCTGACTATACCATGGGCCTGTGTTCATGAATCACTATCAAATTGATGTAGTCATGATGCCATGTGATCAACCAACTTTTGAGCAAGAGTCGTATGACGCTCTTTGAAATCTTGGTTGAAAGAGCATGTTCAATTTTACGTCAAAAGTTGTGGAATGTAGACATCAAAAGGTGGAGTTGCTGGAATATTGCTCGACATAAAGGGAAAGCTGACTATTGGCAAGTTGAAGTCACATTTTTGTCACTCTGAATCTTTATTATTATATTTAAATATGAAAGAGGCCAAGCGTTTTGAGTGAATATCTTTTGTTTCTGTCCCAGGTGGGTAAGTTAGTGGAATGGAATTGTTTATTTAAATATCTTTAAACGGTGCCAGATCATCGATATATCTGAAGTTTTAGACCAAATTTCACTTGGTTTGATTTCCCCAGTCTTAGCAGAAATTCTGACTTGTATAAATAAAAACAGATCAGCAAGGATCAGAAAACAAATGGTACCCATGGGAATGCATACTTCCGAAAGAGTCCTATCCCCAAATCTCACATACATGTTATCCATGAAGAAGTCCTGCATTTAACGTATTGTTTTCCCAGTAAACCTTAACTTAACACTTTCCCTGATAAGTCGAACTCAAAACACAAGTTAGCATGTAAAACACTACGCGGCATGAAACATTGAAGAAAGGAAATCGTGGAGTGGCCTGAGTAAAAGCTGCCATGATTAAGTGACATGTACTCAATTAAAGTTAAGTCTGTAAATAATTAATAGCAACACCTTCAATATAGGAAGCAGTGATGACTGTTTAAACATTTTCATTTTCATCACTAATACCAATCTTACATGAAAAGGGTTTTGTTGTAAGGATCCTATGTAAAACTTTGTTTTGGAAATTTCTTATCTAATTATCTTTTATTAAATGTGTTTGAAATAGCGAGATATTTGTGATATTTAATAGCTGAACATATAATTAGTATTTTCCACTCAAATGAAATTGTACTTAAAGTGTTTTAATAATTAAACTGTCCCGTATTTGTACTCAGGTTTCTCATATATTTCGAACAATTTGAGAAAGAGGATGTAGGATTAATTGGAGCAAAATTTACAATCGGTAGTTGTAGATATTCATCGTCACAAATGTCCTAAGTTTTGATATACTGTACTAGGGGGTGACAATTTTCATAAACTGAAGTTTAAGGTGACATTTTTCCAAAATACTCCTTGTGAGTATATATGTCTCCAAATCCATTTCATTTTCAAGTAATACGGAATGATCGAAAGGTCAATCATTTTCCATACTGTATGATGTTTTGTTTGTTTGTTGTTTAACGCCGCACACAGCAATATTCCAGCTATATGACGGCGGTCTGTAAATAATGGAGTCTGGACCAGACAATCCGGTGATTGACATCATGAGCATCGATCCATGCAGTTGGGATACGATGACATTCATCTTTTCATTGAAAATTAAAAGTAACACATGCCATCAATATATATGGTGCCAAGGGATCTCCTTGCCTACACACTCTACTTAAATTAAAGAAATTCGAAATCTGACTCGAGATAATTATTGCACTGGAACTATCTTTTTTAATTGCCTTTACAAAATCTACTCGATATATTTCACAATGGTAAATGAGATGGAATAAAATCGTGTGCATTCTCTGAAAGGTAATTGGTTTTAATAAAGCAAAACTTGCTTAGTCCTATCTGCCAGATACAATTTTATGTCAACCTATAACAAAACCGATTGGTTTGCATTGTTTACGAAGTCTCTGATTACTAGTTAAGGAGGCTACAGCGATATTGATTGATTATTCTCTTCCATGAATCCAAGACGTCATCGTTGCATTTTGAATCACGAATGCTATGCAAATGGATAGATGCACGAGGAAAAGTACAATAATCAACTACATTTGAGGTATTCATTTTGACACTGATAAAACATTTCTGAAATTCGAAGATTGCAACTGTAAAAATATCCAGAAACATCCGCCCACTGTCATTAATGTCAATAGACAAATGGTCCGATTTGAACATAGTAATTGTGCATTGTTGCTAATTAAGGTTGACATGACCCATGCCGAATTAAGTTTTGAAATGTGTCTGCACAGGTGGACCTCCTGACCCCAATGATTCTAGAAGGAGTCATCCTACAAGGGTGGAATGACGGCAGAGATGAATATCTGCCTCATAACTTCACAGTCTGGACTGGAATTAATGAAGGCAATCTCACAGTATACGAAAACAGAATTGGAGATGCCAAGGTTAACTGCTAGTCCTTTCTTAATGAGTAAAGACTGAAAATGTTCATATAATCGAATCGTCATTGTTTTCCATGTTGGCATTTCTTTATCCGCATGCAGATATAGACATGTCGGTCATAATAATCATATGGCTGTGAAAGTGAGCATCATAGCTATTGAGAAGGGTTATTGTATACCAACAAGTTCTTTTCCGACTGAGAACATTATTCAAAGTGTATTAGCCAAACAAACACATTAACTTAAAAAAGTATGATTTTCTGTTACTTTTTGTTTTTTACAGGTGTTTCATCTTGATTCGACATATGCTTCAACTGTTTCACAAAAATTCCTACTTTCCACACGAGTTCTGACAAGAGTTGTTAGGCTTCATCTGTATCAGGAAACTTCACCTCTTTGTGTGAGGTTTGACCTTATTGGATGCCCCAAACGAGGTAGGCTTTGTGGGGGGAAATGGTGTCTACGTAAAATGTTGAGTGAGTCGTTCAGTGGTTCATTATAGTAATGAGTTAACGTTGGTAACTGCCTCTCTGTGATATCATCATTTGAGAGGAAAGGAAACTAGACTAGGTTTAGTTCGCTCAGGACTCGCCTAGACGTAGAGTTAAAATATATTAGATATATATAATCCACAGTCATGGCGCAACATGGGTGCTATTTATCCTTTATTATGTGTTTAACACAGTGACCGTCGACCTAAAATGCGCTGAAGGGAGCACAAGCGTGGGTTTGTACAGAATGCCAGGCCACAGTTTCTACCAGAATGTCTACAACAACAGCTTTGTAACACCAGGTGTTACCTCAGAGGAGTGCAAGAATAAGTATCTGTCAAACACACACATCTACGCCTCTTATCGATATTCATTTCCGGACGAATATTGCACATACCTAGTTGGGAATAGGTATAGTCGTCACAATCAAAACTGGTGGGTCACAGGATATGGAGGAGCTACCGAATATGGACAAGTGTTGTGCCTGGCTGGTAGGTAGGACCTTGAAACTCTCAAACTGCATTTTGTAGATGGAATCATATTTTAAAAAGAACATTATAATACTGTTTTAAGTGACTACAATATTCGTGTTTTTCATATGTTGGAAATTTAGTGAACTGTTTGGATAGACTGTAATATGCCTAATATTTTAATCCCCTTTTTCAGACTCTGCTGACATTTACAAATGTGGTGGCGTTGTGAACAGCACTGGGGAGATTATTTCTCCTTCGTACCCATTCTACTATGGAGAGAACATAAACTGCACTTGGACTGTGAGACTGGAGGAAGGATCGTTTGTCAGACTTGGATTAACAGATCTAGATCTGGCAACAAAAGAAGAATCTTATGTAATATTATTCTTACATTTTATGAATCAGTGTTCAATTCAGTGGCGGACAATTTAATAGTTTGACGGGGCTTGGAAATTTTCAAGATAGAATATCGTTATTGTCACTTCTTCTAGGTATAGTTATAGCTTCTCTTGAGGCGCGCATTTGTTTTTATCAGAATAGGTGTTTCGGGATATACAGGTAAAGAACTTTCGAGGACACATGGTTTTATTGAAAAACAACAACAACAGTCCTCAAGAACATCAAATGGTTGGTCCTTAACAACTACAAGGATATGTATGTATGTTGTATATGGAGTGAAGTGAACATTGTAAGCTATGTTGTCATATGTATAATTAATGCATATGTGCTTAAGGAAAATATGGTTCGTTAGATTGTTGTTCATATGTCCCTCTTTATTCAGGATGCTAATGCGTATTTCGACTGTGAGGATAGACTGACAATATCGGACAGAAACCGTGCCGGAAGCCATATTGTCGCTACACTGACAGGACATACGTTTGAAACACTCGAAGGGCCACACTATATATCGTCCTCCAACGAAATATGGGTTAACTTGATCGCTTGTCCAAGAATAAGAGAGACTCAAGCAAGAGGTTTTACAATAAAAGTTGATGCAACAGGTATAGCATATTACTAGAGAACATACCCGATGGACATCAGTCATTAAAGCAGACATTTCATTGGAACCAATAATGTGATTGTCATCTCCCAGCGAGTACTTTATATATTCCTTTGAGGTGCCAGATACGTTTACATACGTGTATGGAATTGATAATATTTGTAGAATTAACATGATTCTGCTACTGTAAACATTGTAAAGAAACCTTTTTTATTATTATGGTCCATTCGAATAGTTCATTTACATTTGTAATTAAACAGGGAGACATGTTAATAAGTGATTTGGAACAATACTTTTACATGCAGAAGAACACCATCATTATGGTTTTGCAGCTGACTTTGCCAATTTCAGACTGTGGCGGTTGTGGCCAGGGTGAGTCCAGCTGCTCCAGACAGGCCGTGTGTTCTCACCAGTGTGGCTACATCTCCAGTGCTGCCTTCCCCAACTATTACCCGGTGTCGACAAGTTGTCATTGGAGAATACTGGGTCAGATTGGACAATACGTCACTGTGACCTTTGAAATGATTGACGTCATAGCTGTTGGAGAGTGTGAGGGAGACTACGTCAGTCTCTTTGACCTTGACCTTGCACATGAGAAAACCTTAATTGGAAAGTTTTGTAAAAATAGAAGGCCAATAGGAGACATTCAGAGTAGTTGGCAGATGATGGATGTGGAGTTTTATTCTGACTTTGATACTGCTGGAAGAGGGTTCCTCCTGAAGTATACCCTGCAGACTATTGAATTCAGCGCTAGTTCAATGAATACGTCAGGTAGGAACATATCTATATCTCAGACACCTCAGTCTGGTAAAGATACCACAACATTAAGGGTAACCGTTTTTCGTGGAATGTGTCGTGCAATATCAATCTCCTTCAGAAATTGTCTGTATTATTTTCACCTGCATAGTTTTAAATGAATAGTCATGTTTTACTCCGTCGGTGAGTACTTTAATGCCCATTAGAAATAATGATGGACAAATGTCCTTATGCAGAGTGTCGTTTCTGAGCTGTGCAGTGATCCGCTTACAACCAATAGATGCAACTGAAATACCTTTCATAGCTAAGACTGCCAACTAACGTTTCGTTTCCAGGGGCTTGTGAACTTTACTGGTATAAATATGATGACAGCTGCTATCGATTCAATACAGCCGATGATGGATTGTCTTGGCTTGAAGCGGAACGTCGTTGCTCTGAGGCTGGAGGACATCTCGTCAGCATCAGTAACCTGAACGAGGCTCTGTTTCTCCACTCAACCATCCTTAACAACAACATATTCACTAAACAGAAAATTTATATAGGTGAAGTCAGCGAAAGTATGGACGTTATCCTGTGATTTACCCAGAAGACATTTGTATTTTTCAAATGTATCGGCGTAATTATGTTGGTTGAATGAATATATTAGCTCCACCTAATATTTGCATAAGTAAATACATGTGTGTTATATTCTGCGATGAGTTAAGGGAAAGGTATCGATTAAGACGTCTGGAGGTATGCCCATGATATTTCTATGTTCGTTTTATGTTTGACAGGGTTAAGAAAAACAGGACTTGGCAGATTTGTATGGACAGACGGAAAGCCTTTATCCCATACAGAATGGTAAAATAAGTTGATACATACTGCATTAAAGACACTTTTAAATTAATTTGTCCCATCCATGTATAGGTGTACAGATATTCAGCTGTAAAGTCAAACATGACAAGTTTGTACACATCGACGTAGAAATACGTGGAAAATAAAGAGAAAAAATGTATATATTAGTTAATCGGATGATCAGAAAATTAAGAACTTCAACACCCCACCGACGAATAACATGCAACACTGTATAAACAACCACAGGAAGCAAATGGTTATAAAAGATTGCAATTATACGAATATATGAAAAAATCTATTTGTTTCAGGTATGCTGGGGACTCTGATGGAGCACCCCAGCCGGACGGGTTTGAAAGAGAGGCATGCACCATGATGGTCATCTCCAGCATCAGATCCATCGCCAACTGGCACGACGTGGCCTGTGCCTTCAACAAACTCTCTCAGTACATCTGTGAAAAAACAAACAAACCATCGGATCCTTCAGGTTTACGGATTTTCACATCCACATTGCTTAAAAGTCCCCTCCATATTTTATCGTTTTGACACCCATCATATGTGCCTACAAGGTTGTACAATTCCCAAAAGGAAGGGCAAAAAGTAAACATTTTAAGGAATGTCTAAGTATATCAAGTAAAATAAATAGAACGTTGTTGCCATTAACATATTCACAGTGCTAATTGGAGGAGCTGCAGACATCATGATGGACACCTATGACGACAGTCATACCCAAACTGGTTATTACTTCCCTTGCACAAGCGGCGAGTACATATCTGGACTGTACACATGTGACGGAAGTATGGACTGCACTGATGGTAGTGACGAGGATAGCTGCACTTCAGGTATAGCGTTCAGTTTTGATAATAGTTATTGTGCACAATCAGCTTCAGTGAGCATATCCCAAAAAGAGTAAACAAAGAAATGTATGCGAATAATATTAGACGTTACCCTCTAAATAAAATTGACTTATACTAGTTCCACACTGCTTTTGAAATATCACTGAAGACGGTCTCAGACTCTTCATCATTTTCATCATTCAGACCCCTGTCCACTCGGCATGTTCTCCTGCACTGGAGGAGGATGTGTGGATTTCGCTTTCTACTGTGACTACAAGGAACACTGCAAGGACGGATCAGATGAAACTCAGTGTGGTGAGAGTCTTATAATTTTACTATTTATTTCAGTATACTCAGTTTCTAATTGTAACTTTATTACCGTGAAATACTCGATTCTCTACGCAGTGTCCCGTGAATGTTCCTCTGACCAGTGGCGCTGCAGCAGTGGACAGTGTGTGTCAGCTGACCAGAGGTGTGACCTCCTGCAGGACTGTGTGGACGGATCAGATGAAGAGCAGTGTGGTATGATCCCATTTATTGGAATAAGAGCAAAATAATCCATGTACATTGTCTGCATACATGTCATGAAGGCACAAAGTCCTATATTAATCAAAGAATCACAAAGTCTTACATGTTTATTAGCTCCATAAAGGAAACCAGCGATAAACCCAATTCTGGGATTGTCCCAGGCTCATTACCTATGACCAGCTTTGACTAACTTTTGATCCTTTTTCATCCGGCTGGTGCAATTGTAACTTAAATGGGAATTTGCCTTCTAGCATGATCGCTTTTAGAACAGAAAGCTTAATTCTGCGATGATATCTCTCAATTTCTTTACCTCATCCATGGGCCATATCTCTTTGCTATTACCAGAAGTATGCCGTAAACCTTTCTTCCAATGCTATGACGGACGGTGCCTGCCCCCTGCCCGGGTGTGTGACGGTTTTGTGGACTGTGGGGGAAAGTACAGGGAGGATGAGGGTTCACAATGTACAACAAACAGTCAGCCGTCCTGCAGGGCGTGGTATGCCCTAGGAGCTAGGAACAGTGGCAAATACAGCATTGTTATGCAAGAAACGTCTGGTAGAACCAATATCATACCAACATGTTTGGATGCGCTCTTGTTAATGTTCATCCTTATGCATATTCGAAGAGACTGGTTTTGATAAAATGCATTTTTTCATCAGTTTTCACAAAGAAAAATGATACTATATTGCATAAAATATGTTTCAAATGTTATTCCTATTGTTTTATAGTGTTATGCTATCTTATGACCTAATTAAAACGAATAAAGTTATGTGGATAAAAACATAAAATAGTATTGGTCTTGGATCTCACATCATTTCGTATATATGTAAATGTGTAAGCTGACTAAAATTTCCACCAAGGCAATTTACACAAGGCCAAACTAATTCAGTCAATTTACAAATATTTTTCCGTCAGCTTGACTAAAAGTAAATTTAGAAGTTCAAAAGGCTTTAAAAACATCACAATAGACTAGTTATGCTGGGATTAAAAGACAAATTTTATTTGTTTTAATCCTACTATTTTAAAATAATATACAGTGCTGTTCCCCTTCGTCCTTTAAGAATCGTTTTCTGTGGAATGTGCATTCAACAAGACTGAGGGGAAGATAACGACCATCATTCACCATGACATGGAAGACTCGACAGTGACTGCGAATTCTGTATTCATAGAAGATCTTCACTACACTCTCCCTGAGAATGCCATTGCTTATGTCATGTCCATGTCTAATACATGCCGCCAGTCAGTGCACATTGACTGTCTCCAAGCGTTTGATTTGATCGAAAGCTTCTCTGCTTGGTATGATGTGAACAAGAAGAAGAGGACTTTTGTGGCTGACACCGGAAGCAACTGTAGCTGCATTCTCAATGATGTCTGTGTTGGTAACATTACAAAGTAAATATTCTATTCATTTGATTACACCTGTCATTCATTAAATAAACGAGTCTAATATTCGATACTACCTTGATGTGTGCAATTTCACTGTAACCGTTAATCCCCAAAATGAACAACGTCATGGATAAAGAAAATGAATACAATATCATTATTGCTTGCTTTTTTTATAACCAGCCTTTACTATATTACCATTTATCACCATATGATTTAGGGTTCAGTGTGGCGAAAAAAACATAATTACCCCGCAAATGTTCTGTCTTGGGATTCGGCAGATATATCTTGTTGTCAGAGGTGACGTCATGGAGTAATCCTCATGTTATTTTGAATCAGACGAATGGGCATATGCATATTTTATAAGAAAAAATGTATTGAATACAATACACGTATTGTCTTGTTTTCAACCTGGATATTATATCTAGCTAATTCATTGCACCTGGCGTAGGTGCGCCTGTGACAAAACCAGAAACGATCTCTTTCTGGTTGACGACAACGTCTGGCTGACTGACAGCGGGTACCTTGATGACATGGACAGCTTGCCAATAACAAAGATATGGATGGGTGATACCCTGCGGTTAAGTCGTGTGAGACATACGGTCGGGCCTCTGATATGCGAAGAACGTAAGTGGATAAACACTAAACATCATCTGCACTATGAGAACATGTAGATAGTCACATGACTTAATGGTTGATGTATTATAGCTTGTTGTCATGCAATGACAAAACGAATGAGATGTAAAAACAGGACAAGGTCGATTTTCAGGTGTTCGGAGAGTATATTTTTGTATGAACACGTTTTTGTTCTGCAACCCTTGTTCTTTCAGGATTGCAATCAAACACGAGTTCCCTCATGTGTACGAGCGGCGTAGTTGTTGCCACTTCTCACAGATGCATCTTGGATTACGACATCTATCAGCACTACACAGGATGTCGTGACCTCACACATATACAGGATTGTGGTATGTTATAATCTGCCTATGAACCTTCTCTATCTGCCCAAGAACCTTGTGCACAAACTTTGAGAGTTAGATACACACCATTCCATGGCGTAAAATGTATGATGTCGTGGCACACTATTTATGCGATGCTCTGTTCGACAGAGAAGCACGAGTGCCAAGTAAACTATATCAAGTGTCCCTCCAGCTACTGCATCCCCATCAGGTTGGTCTGTGATGGACGCCCGGACTGTGCTGACGGGATGGACGAAAGAGGATGCAGTAGGTTTCTTTTAATTTGTTTTGATATTTTTGAAATTATGAAACAGAAACATCTACTGCATAGTATCTGATGATTGTTTATGTTTATATAAAAAAAAATCTTATCACCACACATCGCGTCCTGCATGTCCCCACAAGCTTAAAAAAGATAAAGCCTAAAAAATAACCAATTGTATGTAAACGTTTTACCTTTTCGTTGCAGTAAATTTCACCTGCCCTGGCAGATACAGTTGTCGTGGTAACAGAGTGTGTATCCCATGGCAACAGGTGTGTGACACTGTGAAACATTGTCCTGAAGGAGATGATGAATATTTCTGCAACCAGGTCTGCCCTGATGATTGTGTTTGTAAAGGATCACAAATCACATGCAGAATGTTTTACCTCGACACTATTGCACATCTACCTCGGTATACTAGGGTACTCGACTTAAGTAAGACTTATAATATAACAATCAAGAATAACACTTTCTATCACATGGAGAGTCTAGCGGTGCTCAATCTGTCCAACCTCGGTGTGCATGAACTGGAAGAGGAGTGTTTTAGTGGACTGGAGAATTTACTACGTTTAGATCTACGCAAGAACTTTTTGAAGAAAATCTCAAATGGTCTATTCAGGAATATGAGAAATCTGCATACTTTGTTACTTACTGGCAATGATATACTTCAGATATACCCCGGGTCGTTTGATGGACTTTCAAACTTGCCATCACTCGACATGTCGAATATGGCCCTTTCTACGATAGCTGAAAATATGTTTTATGGGTTATCCAGTCTTATTTTCCTGAACCTTTCGCATAATAAACTCACCTTGATAGAGGACAGGAGCTTTACTGGAGCCGGCAAAGTCCAAACTCTAGATCTTACAAATAACGACATAACAGAATTCACTGGAGACATATTTTCCGGCCTAGACAAGCTCAGTTATCTTCACAATGATAAGTATGTATTCTGCTGCTTCAGACCACAGGGTGTTCCAGAAGAACAGTGTCTCCCCGCGGCTGACGAGTTCTCTTCCTGCTCAGACCTGATGAGGAATGAAGCACTCAGAATCTCAATGTGGGTTCTAGGTTTCACTGCTCTTGTTGGTAACCTTTTGGTCATTTTGTCTCGATGCATCTATGACAGACAGAGTTTGAAACGCAGCAATGATTTCTTTGTTGCTAATCTCGCCTTGTCTGACTTTGTGATGGGAATATACATGATCATCATAGCAAGTGCTGACACCATCTACAGAGGCGTGTACAGCTGGAATGACGAGGCGTGGAGAAGCAGCTGGGTTTGTCAGCTGGCAGGGTTTCTAGCAACCCTATCAAGTGAAACATCAGTGATGTTCCTCTGTATGATCACGGCAGACAGAGTCCTTGTCATCAAATTTCCTTTTCGAGATTTCAATATTTTCAAACGATTTTCCAAGTACATCAGTCTTTCAGTGTGGGTTCTGGGTTTCTTGATGGCAGCGGTGCCTCTTTTGCCCATCGACTACTTTTCCAGGTCGTTCTACTCAAGATCAGGAGTGTGTCTCGCACTACCGCTCACCAGGAACAGACCTCCAGGATGGGAGTATTCCACCGCTATCTTTGTCCTCTGGAACTTCATTTGTTTTGTCTTCATCGCTTTGGGTCAGGCTGTTATCTACCAGGCAGTTAGGGCCAGTCAGAAGCTAAGGAAGGGGCAGACAACGAACGACATGACCATTGCTAGGAAGCTCTCCTTCATAGTTCTGACGGACTTTGTGTGCTGGTTCCCCATCTGTGTCATGGGTAAGTTATAACGATCCACAGTAATGCATGACGTTGTCGTATATAGTTCTTCAAAAACCATCCAAGTGAACATGCAATAGAATCAGTACAGCACATCAGGGCCCTTTCATACCTCAATGAACCGAAGGAAATACACAGTCAATCCTTATAACTGTCAGTTGTATCGAAACTCCTTATCGCGATTATGAACATTCTTGTGTTTCTTCGAAGTGTCGATTTCAATCACACTGTTTAACAAAGCGAATGTCAATGTGCAGCAGAGTATCACGTTGAAACAGACCTTCCCTTGCATGCCAGTGACTTTTGCTAAAGATTAGTCTGGACTACTGGTAAACTTCGGTTTTACCTCGCAAAGATTTTAGCCTACACGTGCAATTAGCAAGTGCGTAACGATTGTAGCCGAGACCTAAAATCGCAATTTTATAGTATTACAATAATTGTAGCGATGAGATCATGGGCCCAACTTGAAGGTGGCAAGTTGATTACCTCAACTTACAATGGTGTTCCCTAACATTCCATTGTGGTTGAAGTTGTCCCTCTCGGTGGAAAGGTTTATTTTTTTACAATGGACGCAAGAGTAATTTATCTATTCAGCCAATCAGATTGCAGGAATTTGCTTTTAAATATATCACCGGATCATAGGTTTTCCGACGTCATACACTGCCTTGTCTATCGCGATGACTCGCACTATAACGGGGTAAAGCATCACACAGACATTGAAAATTGTCTTTTATAAGCGCATGACATGCTTTACAGTTGCTAACGTGATTAAAAAGAAAACTACGAATGTTTCTTAAGCGTCCAAAATCCCCTAACATGGGGATATTTATAATTGTTAATCGGATGATTTCTGACTACAGGTCTAATGGCTCTCCAGGGCCACATTATCAACTCTGGAGTGTACGCCTGGGTTGCAGTGTTTGTTCTCCCGATCAACTCGGCTCTCAACCCCATCATCTATACTTTGTCATCAGTTGACACCATGAGAAAACGGAAGGTAGCAATCGTCTCTATTGTGCACATACAAGCGTAAAAAAGACTCGTCAAGATCCGGGGTAGAATTGGTCTTCAGGAACCCATGCTTGCCGTTAAGGCGACTATGCTTGTCGTAAGAAGCGACTAACGGGATCGGGTGGTGAGGCTCGGTGACTTTGTTGTTGCATGTCACCGAATCCCAACTGCTTGGATCGATGCTCATGACGCCAATCACTTTATTGTCTGATCCAAACTCGATTATTTACAGACCGCCGTCATATAGCTGGAATATTGCTGTGTGTGGCGTTAAACAACAAACAAACAAACACAAACATAAAATCTCGTTTCAAATAAAGATGATTATGCTGAAAATTCGGGATTTCACAGATTATGTTCTTTGCTTTAACCTCAGTGTATTAGTTGCAACAAAACTAGTATATGTACTTTCCTGATTTCCTGGTTCATCGATAACTTGATTGTGTGGTTTGTTTACAGGCCGCCGTAAATAAATCCTTATTTTTTATGCAAATTGTGTGAATGACGGGAGCTGCAAGTAGGCCTGGACATGCTTACCTCTTTTGCCTGGTGTCATCACTGATTTTCAGCGGCCCATTCATAAAATTGTCACAGCTATTCTAACATTTGCTCCAGTTTTCAATCTATTTCGGTGGATAATCCAGGCGGGTTATTCATTGGCATTGACAATTTATATTTGCAGTTGAAAAGAGAAAAAACGTTTTCAAGTACCACTCGATCAACAGGTATGTGTGTGTGTGTGTTGTTGATTCAGTGACAAGTAACAGTGACGATGAGTTAATTATGCATTTTCTTAAACAGTGCTTATGTGGAAATGTACTAATGTATTAATCTTGCTTTGTTTTATCTCAGATGTGTAACCTTGAAGTAATCACAACTTATATATTAATAATTTAAACGTTGGCCAATTCAAAAGTGTAGAAAGTTTTGTCATTTTGAACAAGTTATTACGCTAACACATACTTGCGGGTACATTTTACAAGGTACAATAATTCATTTATTTTTGTTTGCTTTCACAGGCAGGACAAGGTCCTCTGTCCCTCATATTTTGCAAAAAGAACTCCTCTTCCTGAGCCAGCCCCCGAATTCAGTCTGTCTGTCCTCTTACATTGGGTCACTGACGTCAGCCCGAGATATGCTGACCATTGCTCACCAGCTAGCCAGATCGGTGGACCTTTTTCACTCCAATGGTCTTGTCAATGGCTTGGTAGAGACAGACAGTGTATACGTTGTCCTTGATAAGGGGGTATGTTTCTGAGGTCTCTTTTAATAATATAGCTGTCGAATCATATTTAGACATTTTAATGTGATTCATGTGCATTTTGTGTCTTGTCATCGTGTTAGAATTGGTGCTATCGAACATTGTTGGGGTATTTCGTTGCTTCACATAAATCTTATCATTCTACAGATTATCAAAAGGGTGACTGCAGCATGTGTTCCCATGGCAACGGAAATCGAAGACGAGTATAGTAAGGATATCCTGGACTTTGGTCATCTTGTATCCAAGATGTTGAAAGCTTATACAGTCGCTAAGAAACAACGTCTCGCAAATATGGTCGACAACTGACAATGGAAAGAGATATGGATACGATACCGCCTCCTCTTCGAATGGACATGATGACGAAAACTACTGTGCGACGCAGTTAACAATAAAATCTGCAATATAAACAATGTTTGATTTTGTTTCGATTTCATATTATAGATACACACAGCATGAGACCAATGAAACTTCAAATGGTATATTTAGCACCAATTATAGTCACAATTATTTTTTTCTGTTTCCTCGTAATCTATTGGGATATTATGTCAATGTCGACTGAAAGAGCTTAAGCATTTAGGTTTAAGGCTGAACGAAATATGGATCATAATGAATTGGCTTTAGATGAAATTGTGATCAGTGTCGGAGTGTACTATTCAAACTTGGACACAAATGAACCTTTTTAATTGGGGAAAAGGTCCAGTTTAAATGTTGGTGCCCCTTCTAGTTATGCTATCATTCTCGTTTGGCGATAAACGTCAAAGTACCAGTTCATCACATTTAGTTCTGTAGATTCCCATTAGTAGAAACGTAATTGCAATTCTTTTAGAAAGGATAAAATGGTAATATACAGGAAGGAATCTCAACCATTTGAGCAAACTTTGGTGTCATATTTGGTACGAAAATACATGTTACAGATTAATCCGTTTCTGTTGCACTTGCAAGGGCGGGAAGAGAGGCGCTATCTTGTCGAGTGGAGTTGACGGTCGGAATGTCATCATCTTGAATTGGAACTTTCTCCACGATAAAGTCATCAATGTCATAATCTAAATGACCAAAGGCTCCCTGGTCATCTCGAACACCTCTCCATCAAATTAAGCGTCACATGAAAATGTTTTGTTGCTCATATTGAAGACAAGCGAACTTGCAAAGTTCTTGACAGTTCTAAGCGGATGTGCTCATTGGGCGTGGTTGCTAGGAGATCGCGTGATCAGAAAGGGGGAAAACAAAAAGTTTTAGAAAGTAATAAAAGAAATCCACAGTGCATACATAAAGTACAATGTACAGGATGTTTTTTAATAATCATTTTATCAATCTGTTTATTCACATTGATGATATTTTAATAAAAGGATATGTGTGTGTGTGTGTGTGTGTGTGTGTGTGTGAGAGAGAGAGAGAGAGAGAGCTTGTGCATGTGTGAGTGAGTGTGTGTGTGTGTGTGTGTGTGTGTGTGTGTGTGTGTGTGTGTGTGTGTGTGTGTGTGTGTGTGAACGAGACATTATCTTGTTCAGTATATTCAATACAAACTATTTTAAACCAAAAATCAACGATCCCTCACTGCACTATCTTCCACCCAATCCCGAATATCACATGGTATACCCCGAGGCTTATCGTATATAAATGCAATAATAGGAGGGCGCGGTAATGGTTTTGTCTGGCTGTACTGAACGTCCGCGTGTTGAATGTTTTATACGAAGTATTATAACATTGATTGTCATAAAGCAATCTCTAAACATGTCACTTTGGGCTGGTTAAGGATTACTAGTAAAAGACAAAGGTAGCTTAATTCTCAAATTGTTATTGGAACAGACAAGGCTAGTTGTAATGGACTGCCATTGTCATGTATCGCATGGTACCGACTTTATAGATTCTGTAACAATAGCGGAATTGTGATAGCAATTCTCTCGTTGCATTTGTACTGCCCATTCAAAGGATTAACGATTTCAAAATATAAGAGGTGAGATTTGAGCGATTTAATTCCTCCTCACTGAGATATCGCATATGTTAGTGATGTTAACAACTGTAATCAATGCTTTGAATCTGGTTCATACAAACGGAAAAGTGTCCTGTGCATTCAACACATATCCTGCCCATATACTCAACTATTTGCCTTCGTTAATAATTGATTCAGCAAATCTGGTCAATAACCATTAGCTTTTATATTTTGCTTTTGTTGAGGAATAGACAAAGACTATTTTAATTTGAATCAGTGGTTGTTAATTGTAAGGCTGAAGCGCTCGTAAAATCCCCAAATATCTCTCCGTTAATTGTATTTATCAATGCAACCACGAGTCACATTGACGTCCCATAGCGTGACCACAAACCATCCAACAGATTAGAATCCCGTGGACATTGGTTCTGTGTCATGGGTACATTGCGACATATACATATGAATTGTCAATGCAAGAGAATAACCAGTCTAGATTATCCACCGCAAAAGACTCCATTTGGCGTAGAGGGCAAAGCAGATGTGAAAATTATATGAACGGACCATTCAAAATCAGTGGTGACACCAGGTGTTCGCAAAAAAGGGAAAGAATGTCCTGCCCTACCGGTATCACTCGCCATTCACACATTTTACAGGAAAAGGTGAGTATTTATTGCCACACGCCGCACAACAGTAGTTCTGCCATGCGACTGTGGCCTGTAAATAAACCAGACAATCAAGTGATCGATGAACTAGAAAATCCAGTGACAGGATAGTGCATTTACTGATTTTGTTGTAACTTATAAAAATACAATGTGTTAATTTTGAATTACGTCTGCCGTGCACAGGTGATATTCTGCTGCTTATCAGTCCTATCATTCAACAGATTAACAAAAGGGTGACAACAGCATGTGTGCCCATGGCAACGGAAATCGAAGAAGAGTATAGTAAGGATATCCAGGACTTTGGCAATGTTCTGTCCAAGTTGTTAAAAGCTTAAACAATCGCAAAGAAACAGCATCTGGCAAAAATGGTCAACTACTGACAGTTCACATTGCTTCAATGGAAAAATGTGATATACAAATGCGATACCGCCTCCCCACCATACCTTGCGAATGGACATGACCACTAAAATCTGCAATATTTCTACTTTTTCTTTCTGTTTGGATTTAATCATGTAGGGACACACAGCATGAGACCAATGAACTACTAACCCGTTGGTACTAAATGATATATTTAGCAGCAAATATAATAATAATTATTGTTTCCTGTTTTGTTGTTTTATAATAGGATATCATTAATTTGATCAATAAATATTCAGTGAAAGACATTTTGCTCTTTCATTTAAGGCTTAACAAAATGTGGAAAATATAATGACTTGACATTAGGTGAAAATGTGATCAAGGTCGGTGTCGGAGTGCACTTTTCAGTAATGGTCAGCTGCCCCTTATAAATATGCTCTACTTCTCATTTGGCGATAAACGTCAAAAGACCAGTTCATCACATTTATTTGAGCCGATTCTTATTAGTAGAACAATATATACATATATTTCAGAAAGGACAAAACGTCAATACACACAAGTATGAATCCGAAGGATTGGAGCAAACGTTTGTGTCGTCTTTGATATATAGGAAAATACGTGTAGATCAATTCGGCTAGCATTGAAAATGATGCTTGCAACTTGTAAAATGACAGTCGATGGTCATATTGAAATTTACAGATGGTAAAAAAGACTGAATCAGATAATTTTACTTAAAACTCCATATTCTCTTATGGCAACAACAGTATGATGATAAAAGCCATGTTTGGTTGAGATCTATTTTCCAAATCACAGGGTTAACGAAACATGTGTAAATGTGACTAGGCACAACCTTACTGTACTGAGGCTCGACCTTTTTTATTTCTTTGTTTACAGACTTCTAAAATTATTTTTAAGATCGATCGGGGAAAAGAAGAAGAAGAAAGTTTGAATTAAAAGTGGTTTGGTAGCACATCTGACTTGTGGTTGTCTCCCTTTGACTAGCAGTAGGTGCAAAGGGGCCAGCCAATCCCATACTTTGTCTGCAGCTCCACAATATCAAGACCATGGCAGGTATCCTCATTGCTGAGGTTGCAGGATGCTCCCAGTCACAGTGAAAATACAATTAATTAACATTTCAGGCTTGTACTAGGCAAAATGTTATCTTCGGATTGTTGGATAGAATCCTACATTTCACTTTTATCGGACCAAATTTAAATAACAAAATATCTGTTCAATACCAAATCTGTTTAAAAGGCTGGATATTTATGAAATAATTTTCATTGCTCTGATACTTCTTAACCCTCATGGTGCCTGGACGTCAGTCAGCCTGCAAACCGCTCAGTGCCGCACTGTGATGACGTCGCGGTTACAAAAACGTATACATTGTATCAAAAGTGTTGCAAGGTCTTTATTTCTTTACACAGTGTAACCAAATTGTATAACATGCAACTCGAGTTGATTGTCTTTCCAACAGTATCTAAAGTCACCAAATCCAAAAGATCTATGCACTGTCCAGCCATCGATAAAAGTGCTGGTATTATAAGTTTCCTACTTTACCACATTAATCGTAATATGGACGCACCCGAATATGGCAAGCAAAGTCAAGTAAGCGCCCTTCTTTGAAATCTAAATTACCAATAATTCATATCATTTGCAAGTACAAGTCCTAACAGTACTAGACATATGATATTTATGATGAAGTACACATTCACTGAGAATTTTCCGTGAGTTGTATTTACCGATAAAAAATCCCGATGAAATTGTGCGTGTTTTTGACGTCAAAACAAAATTGACGGAAGTGGTCGTGATTAATTCATACGCAGACTGTTTCAAAGATTATGTCACAAAACGAATGACAGTTTGGAATGTATATCTTGAAGAAATCCCGGTTACGTCCATGTATGTTTCAATGACCGTGCTCTTTTTTTAGTGATAAAAACAACTTCGGGGTAATTGACATTGTACATTTCCAAAGGACAAAATGTGAAAGATCGCTAAACAGCCCTAACAATACTCAAATTGACATCGCTCAATATCGGGCATCATCATTATTTCTTAATAATTAACAAGATTATACTAACGTAATACCACCCAAGAGTAAGTACATGTAGATTCAATCAAAATTGTTGAAACGTTTTCATGGGCAGCAAATCTATTCAACAAACCTATTTTCGATGACTCGCAACTCGGGCGCCATATGTCATTGTGTCACTTTGACCACCAGAAAACATACATCCTCGTATCAGTTCGTATTTCGCACTTGGCTGCCTAACTTAGACCTTTGCTTAAAATATACTTGTATGGCCAGTCCATGAAATACCACTTTTTCTTTCATTTATTCATTTGATTTATAAATACGACTTTAGAAGTGTATTTACACCTAGCTAGGTATGTACATGTACATTTAAGGACATACGTGATAGTTTATTTCCACTAGTTTCCCATTC